AGGAGGTGATGATCACCATCTCCACCAACACCACCAACACCATCACCACCATCGTCCTATTGCTACTTTCCCATTCCAATTACTTGAGAAAAAAGAAGATGAAGCTTGCTCTAGTTCATCCAACGCTGCTGCAGCCTATACTTCTCTTGCCATCTCCAACGTAGATAATACTCACACAAACCCTAATAATACACCTCGATCAACTACATCATCAGCTTCCACTCTCCAAATCTCAGCTTCTGGCGCCGATTCATCTAAAAAGCCGCCCCCAAAACGAACCTCCACCAAAGACCGCCACACTAAGGTTTGTTGAATTTTATCTGACCATCTCATTTAAGAACTTAAGCTGTCAAAGAACGAAAGAACACAGTACTAATTAATTGATTGATTATATTATGTGTCAACAGGTAGATGGTCGTGGCAGACGTATCCGCATGCCTGCGCTTTGTGCCGCTAGGGTTTTTCAGCTAACACGCGAGCTAGGTCACAAGTCCGACGGCGAAACCATAGAGTGGCTACTTCAACAAGCGGAACCAGCAGTAATAGCCGCAACAGGAACCGGTACAATTCCCGCAAACTTTACGTCGCTTAATATTTCTTTACGTAGCTCAGGGTCCAGCATGTCCGTACCATCACAGCTACGATCTTCATATTTCAATCCAAATTTTTCGCTTTCTCAACGGCGAGGGTTATTTCCGGGAATTGGATTGTCGTCCGACAATTCAGCTACTACGCTGTTGAACTTTCAAACAAATTTAAACCCTAGTATGCAGTTGCAAACGAAGAATGAATTGCGTGACAGTTCGATTGATTTAACGGAGACAAGTGCGGAGGACAATTTAAATAGGAAAAGAAGGTCGGATTTAGACTTGGAGCAGCAACATCAGCAGCAAATGGGAAGTTATTTGTTACAATCAAGTACTGGGACTATGCCAACGAGCCACTCTTCAATTCCGGCTAATTTTTGGATGGTAACGAATCCTATTCCTAATAACCAAGTCATGGGAGGCGATCCAATATGGCCATTTCAATCAGTAAGCAATTCTGGTGCTGCTGCAGCAGCTTTGTATAGAGGCACAATGCCGAGTGGTTTGCAATTTATGAATTTTCCAACCCCCGTGGCGCTTTTGCCTAGTCAACAGCTCGGTGGTAGCAGTGGTGGTGGTGGCGGCAGTAATAATGGGTTAGGAGAGGGGCAACTTGGCATGTTTGCTGGGCTAAATCCATATAGGCCAGGTGGCGGTGTATCGGAATCTCAGGCGAGTGGGTCACACTCACATCACGGCGGTGGCGCCGATGATCGGCATGATACGACGAGCCACCATTCATAGCTATAGGCTGCAGATTGATCATCAAAATCAAATTCATCCATTCTTTCCCAACTTGTGTTTTGTAAGTTTGGATGTTTAAACACACACGTGAGAGGTTTGATTATTTGCTCGGAAATTCCTTATATTTTTCTTCTTCTTATTCTCCTTTTTTTTTTTTTTTTTTTTTTTTTTTTTTGGTTGTTGTTGAATTTTCCTTGAACATTCTTTTTCTTTCTTCACCTTTTTTTTGTGTGATTAATTTGCCTTCGAGTTTGAAGAGGGCAACAGTTTAACAAAGGGAGAGGAGTATTTGGTTTGTTCTGTCAAAAATCTCTGAATGTTTTTCAATTATAGAGTAGATTGTTATTCATCATCATCATTGAATGTTTCTTTTTATCTTTGTTTATCTAAGCTAGCGTTTGGACATAGATTTAGTTGAAATTTGAAAAAATAACTTTTAAAGTAGTTTTGAAAAATAATTTTTGGAAGTTGAAATTATGTTTGGACATGCATTTTATTTGAAAAAAAACTTGAAGTTTTGTGAGTGGGAGAACAAGTTTCACCCAAAATCTACCCTAAACTAGATTTTGGGAACTTGAAAGATAATTTCAGAATTCTTTCAAAAATAGATCATTAATCTATGAACAAACAATGTTTTCAAAAAAGATTTGAAAAAACGGTGCCAAAACATATGGCTAAACGGGGCCTAAAGTTACATGTACAAAAATTATTAAGACTCTAGCTGTTTTGGATAGATTATGTCATGTCATAAAAATTTACTTAATTACTACTCTTGCAAATTGATTAAAGTTTTTCACCTATCGTGTTCAAACGCACACCCACTCCCTAACTCTCGGCTGTGCACCTTGTTATAGAGAAGAAAAAAAAAAATTTAACTTCTATGTGTTGACATTGTAATTTTTCACTATAAAAAATGAATTAATATTTTAAAAAATAAGATAAAACATTTGTTATAATAAGTTCAAATGCATTAATAGTAACACTATATTAATATAATATAGTTAATATATAACAGTAATTAGTTACCATTATTACTTATCAAATTAAATATTTAATGCATATTATATAATTTTATTTGTAATTAACTTATGTGATTTAATTGTGTAGATATTTTTTGTAGGGCGGGATCTAACCTTAGAGCCCGTTTGGACATACAAAATTTTTCCTTTTTCTCAAATTTTTTTTGAAAACAATGTTTGGTTATCCCATTCTTACCAATTTTTCCTTTTTCACTTGAAAATCTATTTTCAAATTTGAAAAACTGGTTCTCACCACTTTTTCAATTGAAAATGGGAATTTGCTAGTTTTTAGTTTCACCAATTTACCCTATATTTTTAAAATTTATAAAATGACCCTATCAGTTTTTCATCTTTAGCAGATACATCTTTCGCGACTGATGGTGGAACATCAGTCCTAGTTGATTTTGCATCTTTTGTGTATTGCAGTAAATCAGAATATGATAACAGTTAAACAATAACATTTTGATTGTTTATTTCAAGTTAGGATAATCAAATTGGGGTGTTTTTAGATATTTTTACAAGTTGTGGGGTATAAATCATGTTTCATGATTTTTGAAAAAAAAACGTAAATCCAAAATATAATTGTCAAAAAANGCTTGGATTGCCTTGGGAAGGGAATCTACCCTTTGTCTCTGTAGCTCCACGCGGGCATAAGGTTTCAACCCTTCCGTGAAGGTGAAGAGTTTGTCCTTATCCCCCATGTCGCTTATGCTGAGCATGAGTGCGGAGAATTCTCGCACGTAGTCCCGCACTGATTTTGTCTGGCGGAGCTCCCGTAGTTTTCTCCTTGCATTATATTCAACATTCTCGGGGAAGAACTGCAGGCGTATAGCTGCCTTCAGTTCGGCCCATGTCTCGAGAGCATCTTCAACGGCCTTGATGGCTTCGTACTTCACACGCCACCAGAGTTTAGCATCACCCTGAAGATACATGGCAGCAGTTGCTACCTTCTTAGCTTCCTCCAGATCCCCAACAGCATCGAAATACTGTTCGACGTCAAAGATGAAGTTTTCCACTTCCTTGGCATTCCTAGCTCCACTGTATGGCTTTGGCTCAGGAATTTTCAGTTTCTTTGTCGCGGAAGCGGAGTTCACAACACCTCCGATTTGGTTTCCACCTCCTCGGAGTAGGCCCTGTAAAGCAGCGTTGACAACATTGAGTTGGTCTGTCAATTTGTCAATGGTTTGTTGCATGGCAGTCACCTTTTCTGCCTCTTGTGCCCTGAGGGCTAAATCCTCGGTGCGCTCCTGTTGGAGCCCCTCGAATTTCTCAAAGATTTCGGCTGCCTCTGTGGCTGCCGTCTGCCGGTCTCCCTCGTAGTCGCGACTGATGTTTTCAACGTCAACTTCGACCTGAAGCACCCTGCGGTCCAGGTCGTCCAACCTTTGCAGTAGGCTGGTTCTTAGTTCAGGCACCGTATCCACAATAGGCCGCAATACCGCAACCGTCCCTTCGAGGGCCGCAATGCGGTCCCCATGATTCACCATGGTCAGAAATGGTGGTATGTCAATACGTTCCCTCGTCCGATGTCGAGCCTAGGCTCTGATACCAACTGTTACGCGGCGCCTTCCTGAGATTCCTTGGAAGGGCGACGTAAGGCTAGGCAACTGATGTCAGTGCAGTTGCTGTCCGCAAACTGAGGTCCCCTCCGTACGCTAGACGAGATTGTTAGTGTCGTACGGGAAAACCAATGTCAAGAGCAATTGAGAGAACAAAAATGAGAATTCAGAATGAAAGAAAGCTTGATTGCATTAATGAAAGCTATTACAGAAAAGCAACGCGGTATCGAGGGGGAGAGACACCAGTACAGAGAATTGCTTGCTTGCTAGAAAGTTTTGATTGCTTGATCCCCCTAATAGTACTTAAAAAAAATAATCCAAAGTTACAAGACTAGACTTGACTAAGCTAGAGAAACATAATGGAAGTACATGAAATAAAACTACTCTATATTTACAATGAAAATGACTTAGTTTTCTATAAGGCAGCAACAGGTCCGTTGTCAGCAGCAGTGTCTTTGGCATCACGGTCTGCGCGCGCGGCGTTGTCTGCGCGCGCGGCGCTGTTTGCTTCTGCCTGCGGCTTGGCGCTCGTGAGGGATATCGGTGGGGCGACAGAGGCACCTGCGCGCTTGTCACTTGGCGCGGCAAAGACCACGGGGCCGTCCGTGGCGCTAGGCATTGGGAGGTTTGCTAGGACGCCACGGGGCACGCCCAAGGGGTCATGGGACATGGCTGGAAAGCCGCCCATGACATAAATGATCCAAGCAGTGCCCCAAGCTATTGAGCAATTTCAGAAAGTTAAATGCAACTCCCCACCTTAATTCATTCCTAAATATGCCTCTAAAAACAGCATGCCCATACTACCACGATCTCGATGCTCCGCAACCTTAGGCAGCACTTTCAGGTTAAAAAACTTAGACCTAGTTTTAGCTGTTGTTTTACTGTCATGGCAGTCTTATCAGCCTTCTGCAGACAGAAATTGCTCATAATAATATAGCACATCTGGTTGAGTGAAAAATATGACGCAGAGAATCTCAGAGTCATCAATGAAATTTTTACTTTCGGACTCTGCAAGTTGGATGTATGGCGATATCTTTGTATTTCGGCCCAGATAAATAGATAGAAGAAATTCATCGATCCGCACATTAATGCGCAAGAGAAAGTGATCCATCAAATTAGAGGACCGGAGAGAAACTACTCCTTTCATCATCAAACAGGATTACCAGATATACTGGAGATACAGAATACAAAAGGCTTTAAATGCAGACAACCAACTTAATTCTCTTCACAAAGATACAGTCCACTAACTAAATTGCTGTACAACTATTTATGCACTATTCTAGGACACTCTTAAAAGACTTATTGAACTTTCCTTGGAGCTAGATTACATACAGCCGATAAGCTGACTTGCTTAATACAACAAATTGCTACCAATAACTTAGGAATTTACATATACCTCTAGATTCTGTGCATGATGGACTTTCAAGAAGTTCCCAAAGGATACACTATGTACAAATATCTACATATAATTATCATCCTTAACCTACCAAAATGGACACCACCTGAAATAAAGAACAAGCAACCAATGATTAGACCAAAGAACAAATAAATAACTTTTTACTCTGCATCTCAACCCCCCAAAGCCCCCGCCCCAAAAAGATAACGAGAAAAAAAGATGACAAAGATCATGATGATGATGATGATGATGAATTGAAGGCATTCAGTTGGGCATTAGATACCAACAAGCTTTGCAGATCACTTATCTGATCTACTTCAAATTCAAATCAGGACATTAATTACTAGGGGACTTTGATTTCTCGACTGGACAGTCCTTTAAGGGCTGCATAGGAAATAGACATATCTGCTAAAAGTGACACAAGGACTAGTACATGAAATCCAACATTCTGCAATCTATGGCATGTAAAGGATCAACAATGCAATATATTTGACTATTGGCATGCAAATTCTCAGCAGTTAAAGGAAATGTTCTTGTGGTCCAAGTGAAATCTCTTTGATTCATATGATCCTTTTTTATTTTTGGTCGACGAGTGGCGGGGCTATTCTAGTCTCCTCAATTCTTCTTCTTAAGCCATGAGGCAAATCTATGGGTTTATCATACATTCAAGGAAAGTAACAGGGCCACCTATTCTGATGAGTTCTTGCATATTGAGAGTTCAATATCAAGGTGAAATATCAGACAGTAGCATATCTGAGAATTGTTTGCTAAAATAGGTCAGAACTACTGAGCAAGTTCACGCTTGGTGGATTCAGGCTCTTTCAGTGCATTCTTAATATATTCCAAGTGATATGGAGCATATAATTAACTCAATAATGAAAAACATAAAAAACACCAAAAAGTTACATTCAGAGCAAGTGAAACAAATCCAGTGTGTGTGTGTGTGCGAGAGAGAGAGAGAGAGAGGGAGGGAGGGAGGGAGAGAGGGTATCCTGGGAATCTGGATCGTACCCAACATAATTTTGGCAAAGATTTTCATGAGACGACGCTTGTTGAATAAGTTTTTGGACTTGTAGTTTCACTGATAAACCATGATCAGCTTCACGCGTCTCTCCAGAAATTAACGTACTGTGGTCCAGTGCATGTGGTAGAGAGCTCGCAGATGTGGAAGTAGCAGTAAAATCACGTCCAGTGAGTTTATTACTCATTCGAGCCATAACAGCCACAGCACGTTCATTTAGAACCTCATTGGCATCACCTAATTGATTGACCGCCTGGAATAAAATTAAAAACGTAAGCATGAAGCATGCATCCCCAGAATACTTTACAAACATAATTGATTTAAAACCTGAAGCAGTTCTCTCTCCCTTGCACCCCTTTGTGGCTGAAGAAGCTCTCTATTTGAAGAAGATTCCTCACTGTTCACAACAGGAGGGACATGTGCACTGGCAAGTGCGGACATTTGCGGAACTTCATTGAAGTTGAAAAGACGCCAATTTATAAGTGGATCGTGAACAAAGGCCTGAAAAAAAAAGAGAAGAGAAAGAGGAAGAATGCAATAAGCTGATAATTTGAAAATGTAATCAAAGATCGCCGACATTTACATCATTACAAGACAAAAATGTCAAACTCCCCATTAAGAGCAACCTTCCACATAATTCAAGGAATGAAACCAAGCCATCTCAAACTGATGAAAGGTGTTCGCCTTTTCACTGTGAGTTTAACTTGCTGTGACAATTATTCATTTCAATAGATTAAGCCTTTCAATCATTCAACATGGAATTAAAGGACCGGATAGATTCTAGTTTTTCAGTTATCTAAGAGCCCGTTTGGACATACAAAAAATTTCCTTTTTTTCAAATTTTTTTTTTGAAAACAATGTTTGGTTATCCCATTCTAACCAATTTTTCCTTTTTCACTTGAAAATCCATTTTCAAATTTGAAAAACTGGTTCTCACCACTTTTTCAATTGAAAATGGGAATTTGCTAGTTTTTAGTTTCACCAATTTACCCTATATTTTTAAAATTTATAAAATGACCCTATCAGTTTTTCATCTTTAGCAGATACATCTTTCGCGACTGATGGTGGAACATCAGTCCTAGTTGATTTTGCATCTTTTGTGTATTGCAGTAAATCAGAATATGATAACAGTTAAACAATAACATTTTGATTGTTTATTTCAAGTAGGATAATCAAATTGGGGTGTTTTTGATATTTTTACAAGTTGTGGGGTATAAATCATGTTTCATGATTTTGAAAAAAAAGAAATCCAAATATATTGCAAAAATTATAACCAAACACAACTTTATCTTCAATTCAAATTTTATTGAAATTACAAATTTGAAAAAAAAAAATTTGAAATTCATGTCCAAACGCCTACTTATACTATGTTAAATAACGTTTCATCCAAAAAAATCTCGACAAGACCTATGACTTCAGACCTATAATGTAGCTAGGGGTAGAACAGTTTAGCTAGCCCTTTAATGTTGGAGAAGTATGTGGCAAGAAATTTTGTGATTCTGATCATGACTGCCATGAATCACTCTGTTTATTCATAGTAACAAGCAGCAAAAGTATGATGAAAGATTTTTCTTTTAGTTTGAGGTGGAAAAAAAGTTAAGAAAAGTAGTACTAGTAGTTAAACAGAGATGGGCTGAGTAAGAGGGAATTGGTGGGGGCCCATATCTTATCAGGTCCAGATGTTGGCTCAGGTGGTTGAGGTCCACATGTTGGTCATCTCCTAAACCAATGTACGATAGGTATCACTGACAAACAGGTGGATCATTCCTCTTCTTCTTTTTTATAATAATATAAATAATAGTTGAGCATTGCTGGCACCATAAAAGATCGGTGGTGGGTTTAAATGACCCTACTGGACTTGGCCCACTCCTTCACTGATCTGGACCGTTCATATTTTTGTGGGCCCTCTCTTAATGGGCTCGTTGAATGATTAGTTTGAGAGAAATGTGTAGTCTCTAGAATTTTAGTTGTATCAATGTCTCCCATCATAGCACCATCCTTTTTTACCCCAACTCTAAGCAAAAAAAAAAAAAAAGGTAAATAAATACACAATAGTGGAAATGTTACCTCCTTTTGGAGATTATAGAATTAAGTATAAATAGATTCATCATCTATTAGGACTGAAGCTAGTCTAAACTTAAAGTGTAATCGGATACTACCAAGGAATTAAACTTAAGCTGTGAGATATGTTATGAAAAGGTTTTTTTCAAATTATATATGAGTTGAGAACAAAGATAAGTTAGCTTATTTTAGTAATACTTAATACATGGTTCAAATTGGACGGTTATAATTTTGTGTGGCCTCTTGGACATCTATAGGAAGGAACATCCTCTCCGTGGCTCGTGGGAATTTGCAACTATAGTGATATATTAGAGGTTGTCTGCGCGGATTGTAATTTTTCATCCAAATGCGGGTATATTGCCGGATTCGGATCCAGGATTTTAAAATTACATTAGTTGGGTTTAACTAGAAACGTCAAAATGGACTTGGCCCATGAGGCCAGCCCAACCAACCCGCTACTTGGGTAGAGCTGGGGTTGGGATTTTTTTAGCCCATTTAGAAGTGAGGCTTATAAGCCCGACCCACGTCAGCACGCTGGCCCTTGAGGCTTGGTCGAGGATGGCCTGGGCCGGCCCGTGAGGCTTGATCGAGGATGGCCTGGGCCGGCCCGTGGGCTAAAAATTAATTAAATTCAAATTTAAATATTTTAAAAAAGTAAAAACTAAAAAAATATTAACTATAATCCCAATTTTCCAACCTTACATTGCTCATTTATCCTTCCATATCAACTAGAGTTTATATTTTTGATATGCATGTAGTATGACAAGATTAGTTTTTCTTTTGCTTAATTAACAACGAACTAGGAAAGTTTTAAGTGGCCAATAATAATTTTTTTCAAAAGAAAATATTACTTTAAGTGGCCAATGATCAGTTTGGTCACTTTAATATATTATTAATTATTAAATTGCTCTTCAATATAGTAAAAGGTCAAGTTTTAATACTGAAAGAAAATTGACAACACTAGCAAATTTCATGAATTTTAAAAATTTTATGGACTATAATGATGAAATCAACAAATAATGTTAAACATAAATTATAAAACCTTAACATATAAACTTATTGAAGAATTCGTGAACCTAAGGAAAGTGAAAGAAAAGTACTAAAAAAATATTCATGTAACGTTAAAAAAAGAAGAGCTAGAGATATAGAGAATTTGCATTTCAATTACGAAATTCCTGTCAGATATCAAAATTCTTGTACACTCTAAATAAACAGAATTCGTTCATATGATTAAGAGATTATGTCATGAAAAAATATCTAAAGATTTGAAGAAATATTTTTTCCTAAAAAATTGAAGGGCCGGCCCGCCCTAGCCTGTGGCCCTCTTAAGGCTGGGCTGGACTGGCCATTTTAAGGCCCATATAGATGGAGGGCCGGCCCGTCCTAACCCACCAAATTTAAAAGCCCACGAGGCTTGGGCTTGGCTAGCCCTTTTTGACAGCTCTAGGTTTAACCTTAGTCGCGTACCAGAACCAACTACATTTTTAAAATTATAGGTTCAAAATTTTATTCTTTTTGAAATTTTAGTGATTTTCACATATATATTTATACTCGCGCCAAAAATAAGACCGTCCGAAGTCGGATTTGAACTGTCAATTCACTTGTAGAGGTGCACCCTATAATTATTACACCATATGAGTCTTAAATATGGGTGCACACACATATATTTAAATAGTTTTGAAAACATATAATATTGTTATACATAATTTAAGAAAAGAAAGCTTGATACGCCCCTGTATATTGCACTTTAATTTATGACTGTAAGTAAATGAAGAAAAGCTTAAGATAAGTTTTCCCCTACGAATACGTATTTCATCTCGTGCACCATGTTCTTTTGTTTCAAAAAGCCTCTGCATAAATTAATGCCTTTTCAAATGTGAAATAAATGAGAAAAAGCCAAAGTGGCTTCTTTTGAACACATTGAAAGTGTCAGAAGGAAAAACTAAAAGGCAGATTGATGGCTCCTTAAGGAGTTTGAATGAATCCAAAAGTTATGTGGTGGACCTTTGAAGCACTAAAGAGAGTATCTGAACTGTAACAAGTTGGCATTTTTCAAGCTTAACTTTTTAGGGAAAACTTATCTCCCATGATGCGGCCATTCATGAGGGCATGGCGTGGGAAGGCTTTTTTTAGAGCAAAGAGTCAATTTAACAGTCTATTCCTTTACCAAATACAGGCAACAATCAGATGCTTCAACAGATATTGCATGAAATTCATACTTAGTTAGAGATGCATTAAAATTTCAGATATTAGACAGACAAAGGATATAAGTAGGTTATACCTGGAAAGAATCGTTACTCTATGAGTAGTATATTTTACCTTTTAACATATTATGATAGATAACTTTGTCTTATCAAGTTACTAATATCCCATATTATTAAAAGTTACATGAACACAGGCAGTTATTTTTTAAGTGACCTGATAATGTAAATACTTGAGTAACTTTCTCGTTGTGAAAATATTTTAATTCGTGATTTTGGTGCAGTAAAGTAAAAGTTAAGCGATCATTTATGAAATCTCTCCAACTTCTTTTCGAAGTGAATTTCATGTACGGGTATAACTTCAATATTCAAATATACTTAAACAGAGCTGGAGCCAAGATTTGAAGTATATGAGTTCTGAATTAACTACCGATACTATAGCTAGTCTTAGTTACTGGGTTTGCACAATTCAATATTTATGCATATATAATGAATTTTCTAATACAAATACATTATTTAAGCAAAAATATTAGGCTAGCTCCACCTCTGCTCTTAAACTTCAACTTCAAGTTCAAATGCTATGTTCTTTCTACTACAACCAAATATTATCCAAACCCTATTAATTAAGTAATTTTTTTTTGTTGCTTTGGCAGAAAGTGCTCTGACATTGAACTGTGTTGTAACATACGAATTTTCAGTAATACAGTAGTAGGGCTGGCATTTTAGCAAGTAGTAGAAGTAAAACTTTACCTGCGAAAAGGGGCAAATTTCACTTGGGTGAAATATGATTGGAGGGGTAATTGGTTGTCACAACTCAATAATATCGATATAGAAATTTTGTCATAGTTGTACAAAAAATAGCACATGGGTTGAAACCATAAGGTACAACACAGTGGTCCCCTAAAGAAAATCTTGTAACCTTGGAATAGTATGATTAGACCATCCAAATTAAACCATATATCCAGCAATTGTCTTCTTTTTTGGAAGCTAATCCAGCTAGTCGGCAACCAAATTAGGGAGAGTGATTTTAAGTTCCTAATACTCATCAATTTTGCTAAATTTGGCCCTGCAATCTCCCTTCTTCTATCATTCCCACTTTCCCTTTTTTAATGATGTTGATAGCTCACTTACTTTTGGTTTAGAGCCTTCCTCTTGGCAACAATTACTTTTTGGTTCTTTTGTTTTTTCCCCAACCAGGGCAAAGTCGGAAATATTGTTAAAGATATTCAAGGGTGTTAAAAATTTATGTTTAAAAAAATAATATCTGGCCTAAGTATACTTTTTCAATAAAAATGTTCAACTGACTGTCCTTCACCAGCGTAGCTCCACCGT